TACATTCTCCATAAATTAACATCATTTCCAAATATTCTTTATACTAGTATGAATAAGACATCAATAACTTAGTGGTATTGGTACTGATTTGTTTATAGTTTGTATTGTTCTTAAAAAAAATTGCAACTAAACGATTTTTGTTGTAATTTTTATTCGTATCTTTTCAATCTCTAGAAAGTACTCACAACTTTAAAGAAACTGTTTTAAATCATCATGTGCAACATCAATATTATTCTTGAATAAGTCTCAGTTTTCAGTATCTCCCCCACATGATTGACACCACAGCAGATACCTATGATCTTAATACACCAGAGAAGTGGAGTCTCGTCTCTTTTTTCGTTGCTTAGATTAGGTATCAGCAACAAAGCTGTTCAGTAAAAATTGATACTGTTTATTGAAAATCATAAGCACCGATTAATCAAAAGCGATATTTATGTTTTAGTACACTTAATAACGTTCTTTGAATGGACATGTGGTACTCTTTTTTAGAAATAACGATAAACTTAATATCAGGCATATGATGCATTCTGAAAATGTACTAATTTTCGTTAAAAAGAACAACACATTATTCACGGGGCTCTAAGAAAATCACTTCTAATACCTACTCTTCGGTATCTACACTATGTAGAATAGTAATAAATGTATTATTTGCCTACGATGAAATGAAACAGCTTCTCTTATGACATGTACAGCCCAGTTAAACACAATTTAACCAGAATGGCAGCAGAAATAACTTCTGCCCCATGCTACTTACCTTAAAGTAAACCTTGATGCCTCTGTGTACATTAATCAGTCATCTTTGGCGCTGAAGCGTCTCTTCAGGTCAGTGATAAACTTCGTGACAGTTTATGACAAACAATTGTCAAAATGATTAAATTTATAACCACACTTCTGTTTCCTTTTGTTGACGGAGGGGGATTCGGAAAAAATTCATTCAACTTTAGTATTACCCGATTTTTTGTTCTTGGCATAGGTAACTTTGAACATAGAAACGTTCGGATATAAAAGCAGCCTCTCTATTGGTCAACTTAATCGCCTTCCAGTTCTCACACGGTTAAAGCCTGGACAATTCTTTTTGCGAATTACGGCACAGTTCGGGACAGGGAACATGTCATTCACGGGAATGGCGCGAATTCTGGGACACCCTGTATATTACAATATTTATGCAAAAAGTATTACAATTGTGGAAATTGGTTCTTTTTGACTTTTGTCATTTTCTTTATACATATACAAATTTTTTTATAAATTTTTTTTTTTTATTATTTAAATGGTACTTCGAGCGTTGTAACACCTGAGGGCCATTAAAATTAATTTGGAAATCTTTATAAGTACTCTATTTCCAGGAAAATAATGAAAGAATTGGTTCAAAGTTTTGGGTAGTTATTGAACATTATTATTTATTAGATACCAGACACAGGTAATTAATCGACTGTACTTTAGGGTGTTGTTTGTAGTTCAAGCCATAAATTTAAAGCTCGCGTGTGTGATGAAACTCTTCTGATAAATTTAATACAGAAAAGACATTTCTGTGCAACCTACGAAGATGACTCGATTTACAATTTTCTTTTCACTGTAGAAGATTTTCTATTTGTAAATGACATGGATTAAATGCTTATATATAGTGCGTTTTTTTTTTAAGTTAACCACCATTTTTATGTTGGTAGCATAAAATTTCCCCTCTACATCTAGTAATTTTTGTTAATGATGTTGATGACATCGCAGTCAAACTAGAAGAAAGCCATGTTGCCACTTATGTTATTGAGAGAAATTGCGATGTTGGTGGACTTAAAATCTAACAATATTTAATAATGAAATAGATATGTATTTAATTAATATAAATGAGAAACTGTAATTTACAATTTAATCTTCCATGGCAGGTTTTAACAAAATCGTAAATTTCTTTGTTTAAAATACAGAAATCAGTAAATTTTTAACAATGGACATAAAGAAGTACAAGTATTCTTAGAACAAGTCGCCAAAGACTTATTTTATAAGCACAGACTTATAAGTACCGAGCACGGTGTCCGAGTAACTATCAATATTCGTTTTTTTTTGTCAGGTTCCCGATATATTTAAAATTTTATGATGTCATACCTGACTGTGAAATTGACGTTTAGTAGAAAAATTTGACATTTGCAGTTGGTTGTATGTCTTGCTGACTTCTATGCAAGATCTGCGTCTTTTGTGCAGATGGCGCGACATCCAGCTCGACAAGGAACCGCGCACCCCACTTCCGCCACGTGTTTCTGTGTTATTTACGTTAATTCCATTTAATTGTTCAATTTCTATGACTCTGATATTAAACTACAACCGAACAAGTGTTAAAGTTTCAAAAAGAGCAATAAACAACATTTAAATTCGCCATACAATCTCGTGGAATTTTAAACAGCAAAGAATTCTTATTTGAAATTAAGATTGGACATCAGATAATTTATACGATTGAAGCATTAATCAACAAAATATTTACGTGGTCAAAAAAAAACTAGCAAATATTTATAAAAACAAAAAAAAGATCTGGTGTGAAGTAAAACTTGTGCAGACATTGCATGAGGTGAAAAATTGCAAAGTTAACAAAACTACATGAAGTTAATATTTGCCACACTTTATCAACGATTCAAACAATGGATTTACATGATGTTAAATTATGCCTCGATCCAAGTAACTGGTTACTTAAAACAATTAGCTTTGAGAGTTTATATCGTGGACTGTTCCCAGCTTACGCCAAACAAACACATGATAAATAAACACAAAATGTATCCCTCGTCGCGAGAATTACGTCTCGGTGGTGTAATTTTCCACGTCGCGAGAAATATGTCTCGCTCATGTGATGATGATGATAATGATAACTGCCTAAGGGGAAAGAAAATTAATCCCCCTGTCCCTCAGTCCGCGATATTATGAATTCTATTGCATTTTCCACGGTCCTTTTCCCAGAGTGGGACAACGGTGGGTTGATTTAAGTGCCGTAAATGAACTATTAGCAATCTTGTGTGAGGGATTAAGAAGATGATAATGTAACACTTAAGTACAAGCATCCAAAAACCTTATTTATAACTTGATAAACAAAGGATGAGTCCTGACTATGTGAATCTCATAAAATCTCCCTAGCAAGTGCTTTATCTGACCAATTTCATGACTGTTAAATTGTATTAGAACCAGGTAATGATTAAAATCCTAACACGAACTGTGAATTTACAATTTAAATCAAATTTACACCACGTGTTGGCGTCGGTCGAAAATTCGCATATTTCCGATTGGAAGAACAGCAATAATTAGCTACGTTTGTTGGGGAAACTTTGGCGTCGTCGAGTACGATTTATTTTCGTTAAACAAAGGCTTCCTTTCCCCCTTTTTTTAACAACCAAATCAACTAAACTTAATCTAGCTCAACCCTCTACCAAGCAAGCCAACTTCTATCAACCCTCTCACTAGATACAACCCAGAAATCCCCCAGAAGAGCTACCAATTACTAAAAAGGAATTAAACTTGCCTATGGACTATGTTTAACGATGTTCTTATTTAATTTTTTTTTTCAAATTCAAATTATTCAAATGTGATTTCGCGCCGTTGTTTTTTTTTTCAGCGCGAAATTTTAATTCAAATTTGGTCACCACAACAAAATATTTTTTTCTTCTTTTACAGTTATGTTCGTGCAGAAGAAGGGACGAAAATCGAAGAATCGCTATGGACTAAGCGGATTGAGGAGCGTAAAGGGTACATTTTTTTTTCTTTAAGATTATCTGTTTCATTTCGTGTGAATATTCTCTTTCAATTAAATAAATCACAATAACAACTTACAAAAACGAGGAGACCTTATTGAACGAGAATGTTACCGAGTGTAATATACAACATTCTACAACATCGTAGTTTCCTTGTTTAAATTTAAAATTCAACTGTGACTTTTATAGTATTCTCTGTCGTGTATAACTAAAAAATAAAGAACTTAAATGTGTAAAAATGTATTAAGGATGTTCAATGAGTTTCACATTTACAGTTGTTTTATGCATCAACGTAGGCCGTTTTGTGATTGCTGTCAAATTAATTTGACATTCAAACATATATAAACGTGGAATTTATTGTTGCCTTCCTTGAAAATATGTTTGTAATTTTTTTTTTTATTTACAGTAAGTTCGTAGAGGAGGCAAGAGGCATCAACAACGTAAAATGGGTAAGTCTGTTTTTTTAATTCTTGTTTTATCGTGTAAGAATATTCTGTTTAATTTAAATAAATGGGTGTAAAAGTTTCCAAAAATAAGAAGAAAATGGGAATTAAAAGAAGTATTAAAATGTGTAATATACGATGTGGTATTTCCACGGAAGTTTCAGAGGAAATTAAAAACACTTAAGCACATTAACTTGATAAGGGAGGAAAGTTGTTAAAACTTAAAACTGCCAATTCAAAAATTCTCTACATACTTATATAAAAAGTAAAATTTAAAAATGTCCACTATTACTAAGAAGTTGCAAATTGGGAGATTTCTAAATTTCGCGGGTCACTAGATGTAAGAAACAGTTATAGAGGCCCATAAAATGTTTTATAATATACTTACATACAAGAATAATAGATAAATCAGTAATAGAACTTTTCGGCGAACACAACAGTGTAGAAATCGCTAGATTTCAAGGAGCAATACAACATAATTACTGCCCCTGCAACCGCGTTACAAAAAAATTTTAATTGAATTTAATATTTCGGTATTAAAATAAATTATAGCGTAGGTTATTGATATAAATTAGATAACAAAAAAAAATGCGCTTTTTCGATTTGTCGTAACAGAGTGAATATTGAAATTTAAGCCTCAAATCAGGTCTGGTTGTAAACTGTATGATATAATAACCCCACGTCATCCAATGTCCTAAAACAAACAACTAATGTAAAACGGCCTTTAAAATATATTTTTCGTAGAATGGTTTTCCATGATTAAAACTGTCTGCACCACTGTAATTTATTATTAGCTACGAAATCATGGAAACTTAAACATCTATACATCAAACGCCACTTAAAACCAAGAAACTGTAAAAACGATTTTATTTTTAGCATATTTAACAATAACAATCTACTTATTTTTTTTCAACAGAAACGCCATTCCGTGCATCCTAAAATGCTTATTCAAAGACAACGCATCTTCAAATTGCTCCAAACAAACAGTACACTGATTCTCCCTAACAGGTCCTCGGTGCTCCCCAGGAACCAATCTCAAATTATTTTCTAATTCTTTAATCGCAAACTTGTCATAACAGTCATTATTATCAAAATACGTGTTCGTGTCCGTGATTTTATGGAAATGTGCCAGATGTTTAGCTAGAGAAGGCTTCACAACAAAACATTCGCCGCATTCCATGCACTGATACGCAGTAGACACGTCTCTATGGCTAATTATATGTCCATGGAACTCCGCCCTCTCCGTGCTTTTGTAATCGCATAGTTTGCAATAGTACGTTCCATCGAAAGAAACCGGTTTGTCGGCTTGAAGATCCACGATCTCTTCGCTAGCGGGTTTTTTATTCTTCACTGAGCTTATCCCAGATCGTTTTCGTTTTTTGTTCTTTGGAGTGTCTTCAGTCTTCATGGAATCGTTACTAGAGTCTAAGTTTGAGGGTTTACTTTCGGCGTCGCTGTTAGATGAGCTCATTTTCTCACTGGAACTAGTTTCGTCGGAATCCTTTGGTTCGTTGATGAGGGTTTGTATAGTGACAACGGGGTTGTTATATTTGCAAACTTTTGTGTGAGTTTTCTTATCTTCTGTGGTTAATTCTTCTTTACATAACATACAAGGGGACTTTTTCTCTTCATGCGGCGAACTCACAACTCGGCCGGCACTCAAGTGGTTGATTTGTTTACAGTTCAAACAGGTTTTGAAGTTGTCTTTTTCACGGAAGCTCATTTTTTGGAAGCAGAACTGACAGTTTGAATGCACGATCGTCGGTTGTACTTTATCACTTTTTTGACACCTTTGTTTATGAACGGCGTAGGTCGCCGTAGACCGGAAATAACTTCTGCAATATTTACAGGTAAAGATATAGACGCACCTTTCTCTGTCCTGAAGATGCCAACTAATATGTTCCGCACTTTCTTCGTGACTTAAAGTCACAGTGTTCTTACACACTAAGCAATTGTAGCTTTTGATTGCTGTACACGACTCGTGTGTTTTAGCGTGTTCTAGAAACTCCGAGTCGCTTAAGAAACTAGAACCACAAACACTACACTTGCTGATGCTTTGCAAATGATTGGAAAAATGCGAAGCGTAGGTTGTGGGCAGAACAAAGAGTTTGCCACATTTTTGAGCAGGGCATCTAAACCTGACGTTTTTACTCAAGTGGAAGCAGAAATCTTCCATATGACTATTCAGTAGTCCTGAGGTTTTGAAGACTTTTCCGCATTCGGGACACACAAAAGGTGAACCATTCTCGTGCGTTCTGACGTGTGCTTTTAAAGAACACTTGGTAGGAGCTACGTATTTGCAAACGTAGCAAATCAAAGAATCGTCCAAGGGTCGATTGGTACCCAGGAAATGAGCCACCATCGGCATTTCTTGAACAGTTGAACATTCAGGACACTGCGGTTGGCTTTTACCCTCATTCAGAGACTCTATTTTCGAAATTACAGGCATGGTAAACTCGTCAACTTCAACTTCTTGTTTAATTTCCGGCTCAGAATGCCCATTTGTCACCTTATTAAGAGGTTCGGGTGGTTTCGTCTGCTGCGTCACGAACTCACAAAGAGGAACATTAAGCGAGATCTGTTTGAGAACAAGAAGAACATTAGTCGTGCCTTCCGCGTAATGAAAAACTAAGTTAAAAGGTCGCAAAGTGATTATCTGCTTCCCGGCTTCGGTGTCATCAGGCGTGTAAAATTGGCAGTTGATGTATGCCGGGCTTTCGACGAATTCTTCTTCCTCGTCGTACAGAAAAGGTATGCTTTCATGTCTTGCGAAACCTGCCAGTTCTACTGGTAGTAAGTGAATATCCACGTTGGCTAAATTGACTTGACCTTCTGCCAGAGTGAAATGTTTTCTGGTGTGAAGGAGGAAAGAACAACGGTTGTAGAACGTAAACGTGTTTGTGCATGCTGTGCATTTGTACTTGATGATGACTACGCGACGATTGATATGATCTTGAAATGTGAGTTTTGAGGAGAACCTGCAAAAACGTGGTAACAAGTGGATTTTACTGAAAGAGAAACTTACATGTTCTTGCACGAGTAGCAAGGGTAGACTTTGAGGCCGAGTTGTGGTTTGAAGGAGATCCATTCAGGCGATTTGTCGAAAAGAATGTTCCACTTTGATTTGAGCGAGTGCTTTTTTGTCTAGAAAAAAGTAAAAATGACTAAGTAACAAGTTTTTAGTAGTGGCAACATTGAACATTGCTTGTCTGGTCGTCTTAAACTTTAATAAAAAACCAATTACCAATTAAAAGTATGGTAATTTTAACACTAATTAAAGCTAAATAACAAAAACTCGATGGTGAATTTGACTTCTTCGAGAATTGGCAGTTGAATACATGAAAGTTAGCCATGTCAAAAGCGTTAAAAGGCACGAAATTTTTGATGGCAAAGGACTGATAACTGGTGGTCACATATTTTTGCATAAGATCCCAGCGTGTTTTATAGTGATTACAAAAAATCGAACATCAAGTTGGCTTTGAAATTTCGTGATTTTGCCGCCTTGTTCTGATGATGACTATATAATCTAACTTTTTCAAATGTGGGCTACTTATTTGACCCGCTGTTGTAGCAAAGTCTGAATGGATACAACAAGCATGTGATACCAAAGTAAAGTTCTTATTTGTATTATTTTTAATGTACTAAATTGTTTGGTGAAATAAGGTGAATATCAAATAGAGAAGTATCAAAATTAATATACTATAGAAACTTCGAAACTTCGACGAACCACCTTAAGATTACTTTATAAATTCCAATAATGTTCACAAATTCTTGGAGTATGAATAATGCAACAATGCAACGAAACTTTCTAAAATGCGTCACTAACAACTAATTAACTTCGTGTAAACATTAAACATACGCTATTTTATAAAGACTAGAAGCTTCAGTTTCCACTAATTAAATTGCTCATATCCGCTATATACGTATAAGAATAAATTTGTAGCATGTAGCTGAACTTCAATGCGACTTTTAAAAAAGTCGCATTGAAGCCAAATAATTTCCAAGCCATTAAAAATATTACACGATCTATCTAATCAAAGTGCTTGAGCTTATATTGGTCAATGCTATGCAAGTGGAGCGAAGTCGAATAGTTGTAAAAAATTAATTGAATAATATTTTGTTTTTAAATGGATTATTTAGCAACTGTATGAAGCTTGTTATATAAAATTGACATGGCTCAGTAATTACCCTTGTAAGTCATTTTTAGTGCAGCAACCATAAAATCTGTTAACATTGCGATTCATACCTGGAGATGTCAGAGAAGTTATCTGTAGAATCAATTTACAACACGCCTGTTATTTTTTTATAATATTTCCTTGTTAGCCACTCACCAATACACTATAATTGATAAAATATACATGCACTAGCGGTCATTAATTTGAGCACACCTTACTTAGATTTCTGTTTTCAAAAATTATCAATCACAAAAATAAAATTGTTTGGTCCAATTTTCTTGTATTTTCGTCCATTCTAATCAATTCTCTTTAATTCGCGATCCTAAGAAGTGTTTTTTCAGAAATGCACCCACTAAGTCATAGAATAACTGTTACTATTGATAATTGATATCTAGTTTAAACCGATTGTTCTTGTATCTTCAGGACCCACTAGATTCGCCTAAGTGTAACATCACGCTACTTAGATCTGAGTAATTATACCGGGTGTCTGGAAAATGGCGGATTAGCTCTCCGCTACGCTCTTAACAATCAACTGGTGAGTCTGGGGAAAAGTGAAAAAAAAATTCCTACTCACGTTTTGGTGGAGTTATGATTTTAAAATTGTTTTTTTTTGCTATGTTTAACAACTAAACAACACATTCATTATCAGATTATCACAATAACTAGTAATAAATCTTTTAGTTTATATTTCTCTTGTCCATGACCATGTTTCATTACCATTTCAGTCAGAATGTACAAAGATATGGTTGTGTTGTTTTTGTAATAATTTGATAAAATTCCATTTGACAACAATGTTTACCTGATATAAAGTGAAAGTACAAATCAACAAAAATCGAGTAAGCAGTTAAAAATGTTTGACGTTTCAAAAATTGTCAAAGTTTTCAAAACCCTAGGTTTAAAAGGTTCCAGTTAATTTTAGGTTCCCTTGTATTTTATTTTGAGACAAATTTAAAGGAATCTGGTATTTTGTTGCTGGATGAACTTGAAAAAAATCTCTTAATCTTACAAGTACATACTAGCCCCGCCCACGCACCCTCTCTTTTCTTAGAGGGTATGTCATTTGCCAAAATCGGTCTTACTTTAGCAGGTACTAGCCACCCCCCCACCCCCGCCCTCTATTTTCTTAGCAAGTATGTCATTTGCCAAATTTAGAAGGTACTAACCTCGCCCACCCGCCCTCTATTTTCTCAGAGGGATCTCGTTGCCAAAATCAGTCTTATCTTAGCAGGTACTAGCCCCACCCACCCGCCCTCTCTTTTCTTAGAGCGTATCTCATTTGCCAAAATCAGTCTTACCTTAGCAGGTACTAGCCCCACCCACCCACCCGGTCGTTTCTTACAGTATATCTTATTTGCCAAAATTAGTCTTGTTTTAGCAGCTACTAGCCCCATCCACCCACCCTCTCTTTTCTTGGAGGGTATGTGATTTGCCAAAATCAGTTTCAGCTTAGTAAGTACGGATGACTAACTTTTATAAAAAATGATCAAAATTTGGAAACATTACGAGCTTACTTATATGCACAAGGCAGGAATTTTGAACATCTCTAGCGTTTAATTAGTTATGCTTTAATGGATTTTTCTTTTGTTAATTTTGTTTTTATTTATAATTTATAAATATCTTATTAAATGTTTTTTTTTGTTTATTTATCAATGAAACATAAAAGCTTGATAATAATAATAATGACTACTGATTATGGTTATTGTTCTAAAAAAACAAAAGGTGGATTCAGTCACCATCGTTACTAATAAATCAGAAAGTAAGCTGGAGGTATTCACGCATTAGGTGCGTGCAGTATTGCCAATTTTACTTTTATAAAATTACGTTTTGCTCGTAATCTACATCATAAAGAAATTTTTATTATTTTTTGGGACTCCCGAAACCTCCGTACATAACGTGCTGGAGAGTTAATCCGCTATTTTCCAGACACCCAGTATAGTATAGGAAGTAGGAGCTTTAATTTTATTAAGCAGTAATAATTTCCAAAAAATTTCAGAAATAAGGTGTGGTCAAAATAATGAATTAATATTTCAACCTTCTAACTAATGGAAATTCAGCCTTTAATTATTTGCTATTGTTCTGTGTAAATTGAATTGTGGAAAAATAAGGTCGAAATTTCAAAATACAAGAAAACTTCAATAAACCAACCGTACGAATATTGTTAATTTACTTTCAACACTTTGCGAACCTATCTGTGCACGGTCTCGTGTATTTGTCGAACTTTGGCAAAGTGATTCTGGTCTAGTGACAAAATGGCGCAAAATTAATGTACCTATTGATTGTCACATTTAATATTTGGGTCCATTATGGTTGGTTCTAACCTAGATTATTTTTTTAGAAGTGTAATAACAAGTATGTCATATAGGCATTGTTCCAATTTCTAATTTATTTTTAAATGCAAGCAACTGACGCGTTAAACTATTAAATTTATTTTTAAATTAATACACAATTACGAGTCCAATGGTGTCAAAATAACTATTACTTATAAAACACCACCCATAGATAGTGAACAGATGGGTGTGATATTTAGTTTGTTCAAATAAATAAAAAGCTCAAATTTTGAAAAGGACAGGTTTCCTAAAAAATATTTCATAAATCTGGAAAATGTTTACGAACACGAAAATACACATAGCTCAGCCATATTTTCGACATCCTTGTATACGTCACTTAATGCAAATAAACGTAGTCAGTATATGTTCATTATAGTGTGAATTATCGCAGCTCTACTAATATAACAAGAAATTTCGTATAAGAATTTCTACCGCAAAGTATCACAAAGTCAGGATGTTATAAGCTATACTGATGTCATCGTGATATAATTTTTTTTTTAATGTCTTATTTTTGGTGATAATTTGCACGCGTTACAATAATAATTGATAATTAATCGCCGGTAAGTAACAATTTTGACACTTGCTTTATAACATCAAATATCGCCGCATGATCAATATCAACATAACAGGATCCTACAGCCTCACCCAAATTTAAACAGCGCCGCGCATCGCTAATAGCATCAATTTGTCACTACATACGTGTGTGAACATTTTTTCAAAGATAATTTAAGGTTGATTTAACTTTTAAATTATTCCACCGCTTCCGTTCATTACACATATTGTTGTCTATATGCATGCATCCAACCTGTTCTGTCTACACCCAGACAGCACACACCATGACACCTACCCAAGACACATTACTGGTAGCTGACAGCATGATTCCTTTACCGTGACGTTAGTTGTATACCTACAATTAAGATTGATAGAAAACAGAAACATATCGCATTAAAACCCTTACCAAATATAATAAAGAACACACCGAGTGACATTTCACGAGCTTGCACAAAAATGGCGCCAGTCTAGACTTCCAAGGCAACACATCCCACCGTCGATTGTTTCGAAAGCTAGGTTAAACCACTGACCCTAAATACAAGCACAGCAGCCGTAGCGTAAGTTCGGATCATTACCGCCAGGGGCGCCACCTCCTTACAAAGTCCCGAAGTGTGCAAGGTCGCACCAATCCACTCACTAGGTCAAATATCTTTATTTCAAATATATACATAATATAAATGTGCATTTTATAAAAATATAAATAGTGGTCCTTATACATGAAAACACATAGTGGAATGTTAAGTACAAAATTTGGTAAGAAACGACTTATTAAATTAAAATTAAATCACTCAAGCTTCATGAGCTTCTTCACCTGCTTCAAACAAGTAGTAGCAGGTCTTATCACAGTCCAAACAATAGGAAAAGTGACGAGAACCAACCCCAAAATAAACGTAATCATATTCTGGTTGGAATGTCTCGCAAACCAGTTTGTGTACACACTTAAAATCAGAGCTAACCCTCCGAAAGTAAAAGTAGTGACTCCACTCATTATGTGTATGAACTTGTTGATCCGGGGACTAATGTAGTGTCTTAGATCTCCGTGGTAGAGGGCCGCAATTCCATCCAGACATGTTGGGATGCTGCAAGCAATCCCCGCTACCCCAAAAATAGCATGCCAACTCTTGAAATGTTCCTTGTTGTTGTAGTTTTTAGTGAGATATGCCACTGTAAATCCACTCAAAATGAGCACTATCGCAATCGTCAGAAACACCCAATGTAGTTTCACTCGAACTTTCTTTGGTAAAGTCCCCGTGAAGAGGTTTTCCTTGGATATGGTCAGAATGGCCTCGGTCATCAAAAACATCCACTACAATAATAACAATGAGGTTATGTCACACTCCTGCAAATACTTACTCCAATAGATAACAGAAGTGGGTGCCATGAAAAAAATACAAATTCTCCAGAAAAACAGAAATAAATAATCAAAATAACAAAAAGCAGTACACAGGCGTGTGCTGCCGTTGTCATGTGTTGATTAAACGTTGACAGGGCTTCAGTGGCGGGCGATTCTTTTTTTTCTTTGGGGCGTTTGTCTGATGCCATTGCAGTTGCACTAGTCGAGACACTTGTCGGAGTGCTTGCAGATTGGAGAAATGAAGTGGTTTCGTCGGTTTCGTCCTCGTCACTGTTTACTTGCGCAATAATTTGCAGTGGATTTCCAGCGGTGTTTGCACTCGTCATTGTTACAAGAAGCACGGATAAAAGAAGTCAAGTACCGAGAAATACGGCGGGAAATTACCGGTGGTTTTTCTGGATTATATTATTAATGAAGTTGATATGGGTATCATGTTATGTTGAGTATCCAACATAAATTAACTAACGTTAATGGCGCACATGTCGCGATAAGCCTATAAAAAAGGTAATCCCGTAACAGTGGGGTCAACTGCCACTGGTAGAAATTTGTTTTGTTGTGGGGAAAGAGATACTTAGGTCGTTGTATATTTGTTGTCAGACTCTTCTTTGTCGGTGGGAACTGATAAGGTTTGTTTTCAAAACCAGAAAAACTGGTTTTTAAACAAATAAAATAAAAAAGATCATCCCTTAAGTACTTCTACACGCTTTTTAATTAAATAGTTAAGGTTTTAGGAAAGTAGTGTACGACAGATTTTTTTTGTTACACATAGTACATAGTTTAAGGAAAACAAGGAAAATAAATAACGATCATGTAGATAACAATTTTATCATTTTGAAAAAGCACAGAAACTTTTTCCTTTTAACAACAAACTGTGGTTACAACAGAACCACACTATTTACTTCTGTAATGTTTCACCTACAATTTCACCTGGTCGACCAATGATTAGATTATTTAGATAATTTTAACTAGAAATGTGTATAACTGGTTGTCTATACCACCGAATTGTTGATTGATGTTATAGTTCACTGGGTTATTTTATCAATGTTATCATTAGACTAGACCACAGAACATCCTTATTAGCACAGTTGATGGGAAAACCTCTACAGTGATTACTACTTTTTTCGTTAATTGTGAAAATGAAAATGTACGTTGCGGTATTTTAAAAATTAACCGATAACCTTTTACTAATGTCCTAGAACCTAGACTGTCACTTACAATGCCTGCAGCGTATTTTTTTATATATGGTCAATTATGGTGTGCGCCACTGTTTAAAACAATTACAATAAAAACGTTTTGGTGGCTTATTGAGAAAACTGAGTCACGGAAATACCTACCTACTTAATTGTAACAACATAAAAAGTATAATAATAACAACATTCCTAATCGTGATGCTATTGTGTTTTAATATTAAAAATGGTATAGAGTATGGTAGATTTTAAAATAATGATAATAAACTCTGCTCGTAGTTCCACTATGTTTTGCTTGTGGGCAATTCCACGAAAATGTCAACCTCAGCACATTTTTTTGAAAATTGTTAAATTAATCTAAATCTTACAATTAGTACTTCTAAAAACTTTAAATTTTACGGGCATATATTTGCTTTTACAATTCCATAACACCCACAGTAAAAATTTCTTGTTATTGAGGAATTAAAATTGTTCAAAGAAATCTTAGATATTATATCTTCTCTAACATTGCTAGAATCAAAGTAAATATCTTGATTTACTTACAATATAAAGCACGGTTGTAAAGAGTGCACCTTTATTGACAATAATGTACAATCAATAATTATCCCAACATCATCTTTAAAAAAATATTACACTTCTTTCTTCTGATATATGTGATACTTGGTGTAAGGGACTAATTTTCATGTTATTCGGAAATATTAAAAATAATTGTAAATCAGGTTACATTATCTCTTTTTCTCGTTCTCGCTCTCTCTTTTCATTGTACTTTTATTGAAATTGCCTTGTGATTATTATTAAAAATCGCATCGTTACTTACGCGAAACGGAATATTGTTTTTTCAGTGGCTTAGCTTTGAAATTTATTAATTAGTCTTGACAGCCGTCAATGTACCAATAATTTGATTTTACTGTGTTAATCAACATGTCTTTAACATCCACTGAAAGAGTAAGAAAACACCGATAAAATACCTCAGAATACCTACAATCAACCAACCGAAAATATCAGCAGGAACATAGGGCAAACATAAGCTGTACAAAGAAAAAAGACATTGCGCTGAAAAAAGTTAAGATACCATGAAAATAAAAAGGAGAAAAGCGAGAAAAGCCAAAATGAAAACAAACAAATGGAAATTTCAAATGATAGTAATGTCATCAAGTAAATAAATTGTAAGTTCGGTAAGTTTGAATATTTTTTCTTTTAGCACTTGATCCTTTTACTTTAACATTACATACATATTTGTTTATTTCAACTTATAGAGGTTTTTATAAAAAAATTAAATTTGCAAAATCAAATTTTATAATTTTCGAAAATGCTAGAAATGGTTCATTGTACTTCATTGGCGAGGCAAGTTCTGTCTAAACAATCTTCGACCAACTTTTTCTTTTGTTTAAAACACGAATTTGCAATTTTTCTTACTTACGTGATAGCTAATACTCACAAGTTCGCGTAAGAAACGATGACATCGTGTAAGTAACGCAGTTTTTTCTCTTTTCAGACAAAATCACAATTAAACTTCCTCTCGGTTTTTGAAAACCCGAAAATTAAATTTTTTATCAATATAACTGTTTTTGTATGATAATTCACAATTCCATTGAAAATGGAGAAAATTTATCAATTCCAGAAAAGGCAGCTTCAAAGGTTTCGCGTAAATAACGCAAACTTTTAATTAAATTTTGACTAAATTAAATGTGACTTTAGTAATATCAAATTATTAAGAAAAAAGAGAAAACAAATCTCTACGATTAGGTTAAAAAATGAAAGTGTAAAAGCACTTATGAGGGCAGTTTAAAATAAAAAAACGTTGCAGAGTCCGTACGATTTTAGCCTAAGAATCTCATGATCGACATGAACCTCACGTAAGACAATGTTTTCAAACGTTTTCCAGTAATCTGTATCATTTTGTTAGACTTTGATTCCATTGGTCTGTTGTCCAAAATTTGTTCGCGTGTTTTGTTTTGGCTGTCTTAATTCATGCTATGGCCTCTTCAATCTCTCCTAAATGTTTATAGTCGGCATAAAGCTCATGATCGACATGAACCTCATGGTCGACATGAATCTCATGTTCGTCATGCACCTTATAATCGACGTGAACACCATGTTCGGCATGAATGTCATGTTCGACATGAACCTCATGGTCAGCATGAACTTTATGATCCGCATGAACCTCACGTAGGGCAATGTTTTCAAACTGCTCCCCATGATCTATAGGTTTTTTAGACTCTTAATTCCATCATCTATAGCTTTTTGTTAGACTTTGATTCCATTGGTTTGTTGTCCAAAATTTGTTAGCGCGTTTTGCCTTGGCTGTGTTCATTCATTTTACGATTGTCTAATTTCTCATTGTTCTAAATGTTTATGGTCGGCATGAACCTCATGATTGACATGAAGCACATGGTCGGCATGAACCTCATGTTCGTCATGCACCTTATAATCGACATGAATATCATGTTCGAAGTGAACAGCATGTTCGGCATGAACGTAATGTTCGACATGAACCTCATGGTCAGCATGAACCTCATGATCGGCATGAACCTCACGTAAGGCAATATTTTCAAACGTTTTCCAGTAATCTACAGCATTTTGTTAGACTTTGATTCCATTGGTCTGTTGTCCAAAATTTGTTCGTGTGTTTTGTTTTGGCTGTCTTGATTCATGCTATGGCCTCTTCAATTTCTCCTAAGTGTTAATGGTCGGCATGAACTTCATGATCCGCATGAACCTCACGTGGGGCAATGTTTTCAAACGGCTCCCCATGATCTATAGGTTTTTTAGACTCTTAATTCCATCATCTATAGCTTTTTGTTAGACTTTGATTCCATTGGTTTGTTGCCAAAATTTGTTAGCGCGTTTTGTCTTGGCTGTGTTCATTCATTTTACGATTGTCCAATTTCTCATTGTTCTAAATGTTTATGGTCGGCATGAACCTCATGATTGACATGAACCACATGGTCGGCTTGAACCTCATTCGTCATGCACCTTATAATCGACATGAACATCATGTTCGATATGAACCGCATGTTCGGCTTGAACGTCATGTTCGACATGAACCTCATGGTCGACATGAATCTCATGTTCGTCATGCACCTTATAATCGACATGAACACCATGTTCGGCATGAACCTTATGATCAGCATGAATCTCATGATCGGCACGAATCTCACGTAACACAATGTTTTCAAACGTTTCCTCACGATCTATAGCCTTTTTTTAAACTCTTGATTCCGTCATTTACAGTTTATTGTTAGACTTTGATTCCATTAGTCTGCTGTCCAAAATTTTTTAGCGTATTTTTTTCTTGGCTGTATTCATGCATTCTACGGTTGTCCCATTCCTCATTGTCGTAAATGTTTATGTTCGGCATGAATCTCATGATCGACATGAATCTCATGGTCGACATGCACCACATGTTGATCATGTACCTTATAGCCGACATGAAGACCATGTTCGGCATGAACCGCATGTTCGGCATGAATGTCATGTTCGACATGAACCTCATGGTCAGCATGAACTTCATGATTCGCATGAACCTCACGTAGGGCAATGTTTTCAAACGGCTCCCCATGATCTATAAGTTTTTTTTTTAGAGTTTTAGACTCTTAATTCCATCATCTACAGCTTTTTGTTAGACTTTGATTCCATTGGTTTGTTAGCGCGTTTTGTCTTGGCTGTGTTCATTCATTTTACGATTGTCCAATTTCTCATTGTTCTAAATGTTTATGGTCGGCATGAACCTCATGTTCGTCATGCACCTTATAATCGACATGAATATCATGTTCGAAATGAACTGCATGTTCGGCATGAACGTCATGTTCGACATGAACCTCATGGTCAGCATTAATCTCATGATCGGCATGAACCTCACGTAAGGCAATATTTTCAAACGTTTTCCAGTAATTTACAGCATTTTGTTAGACTTTTATTCCATTGGTTTGTTGTCCAAAATTTGTTCGCGTGTTTTGTTTTGGCTGTCTTGATTCATGCTATGGTCTCTTCAATCTCTCCTAAATGTTTATGGTCGCATGAACTTCACGTAGGGCAATGTTTTCAAACGGCTCCCCATGATCTATAGGTTTTTTAGGCTCTTAATTCTATCATCCATAGCTTTTTGTTAGACTTTGATTCCATTGGTTTGTTGCCCAAAATTTGTTAGCGCGTTTTGTATTCGCTGTGTTCATTCATGTTACGATTGTCCAATTTCTCATTGTTCTAAATGTTTATGGTCGGCATGAACCTCATGATTGACATGAACCACATGGTCGACATGAATCTCATGTTCGTCATGCACC